GTTAACACAGATCTCTGTAATTTCAAAGTCAAGTGGTGATAAGTATAAGTACACCCATAATCCCTAACCTATTATCTTCTACTTGATATAGTGTATTTAAGCCAAGTGGAGACTCTGCAAAAAACCATCCAAGAAAAATATTCCTCTTCTTGATTCCTATTGTTATTATCCCTCAGAACAGTTTAGTTTGCATATTGAAACATTCTCAAGTATTTTCTCTGGCCAGAAAGAAGAGTTTTCAGGGTCTTTTGTCTGGGACATCACACAGGCTAAGCCCTCCCCCTAACACTTGGGATCACCTAGGAAGGATAAATACACAGTTTGGTTTGGTAATGCTCAAACAAACAGGCAAGTTAAGAGCTTACAGAGTTATTCTTCCTGACTCAGAAGCTCACAGAACAACATTTTGATGGTATTGTAAATAAGGTTTTTTGTTTCTCCGTAAAAAACTAATTATATTTGCACTGTCTCAGATTGAAGCAGTCATAGAAACACATTTACATCAAATTGAGCTTACAGATAAATCATTATCACTCAGAAATCCTTTCATAGCTGAATAAAATTGGTGTTTAAAACTTTTGTGAGCCACAATATATCCAGTAACATGTGACCTAATGGCACATACCTGTGGCTCAGTCTCTGTGAGTAGTATTTCATTAGAGAGCGGAGCTGAAAGACATATTGTCTAGACAGTGCACACACACCTCTATAAAGTCTTCTCCTGAATTAGTTTTTGAAATACGTTGCAGATGTGGCTCTGGGGAGATAGAGGTGGGAGACACCAGACACCTATTGATACATGTACTACTGGTTTCCACTTTGGCACCTTGGGGGTTTGAAAGCAGCCTGCTGGCAGAGGAATGTCAAAACACGCACAGTCAATAACAAGAACTCATCAAGCTCACGCTGATGGTGGAATGCTTCAAGTCAAACACAGTGAGGAAGCCCTGGGAGGCTCTGATAACATGGCTCCCTCACGAGGCCCTGAAGGCTATCTCTTGCCACGGTGCCTTCCTCAGCGCCACATGTGTTCTCAATAAGCAAGGCTTTCCCACAGGCCCGAGTTGGCCCGGGCTGAGCCGAGCTGGAACTATGAGTGGGACAGTGACGGGGCTCAGAAGGGAGGCTCAAGTGACAGTGTGGTAACATACACACACGCCAACATCCCGGTGTTTTCTGTTGTTGCAGGCTCAGAGCTGGGTGGATCTGGAGGGACTTCAACAGAACAACAGCTACACTGTGGAGCTGCAGGCTGTCACGTACTGGGGACAGGTGCGGCTGAAGAGCTCTAAGGCTTCTCTCCACTTCAGCACTGGCCAGAATAACGCGTCAGGTACACACTGGTGCTAATATTCTGTTCATTCAGCTGTCAAACCTGTTTTTAACAATCTTTGTCAGACAGTTAATTCATCCAGACTAGAATATTTCAAACAATATTGGATGGATTCTCTGAATACATTTGTGCAGACATTTGTGGTTTCCAGAAGATGAATCCTCAACATTTTGGGGATCCCCTGACTTTGACTTGTAACACTGCCGTTTGTGGCTTTTAAAGGAAAGGTCTTGACAACCATGGATTGCGATGATTTTAGGTAGAGACATTTGTATCCCTTTTTTTTGTCCGTGTCAAGAACTGGATATCTCATCTCCTTATACCTGGGCCAACAAGCTTATCAATCACCCCACACCCCTAAACTAACTTATCGATCAGTCCTAGCTGCACTTTGCATTAAGTGCTAATGATAGCATGCTAATAGTGGTAAACACTAGCATGTCAGGGCAAGCATGCTAACACAGACATGATCAAGCTCTAAGCATATGGCTGCATGGCCTCAGAGCTGCTAGCGTTGCTGCACACAGACAGTCCTGTTATTCTAAATGTACAGTATGCACGTGTCATTTGGTGGATACGTTAAGCCAAAACACTTTAGTTTTGATTAAGGCTCCTCTCAAGATGAGTGACAGCCAAGCGCAGTAGGTGCAATTATGAGTCAAATGCAGGGTCATGCACTTCCTGAAATCAGACAAAAACCTGGATGCAGCTGCAGATTTGTGATTGCGGACCCGTACGGGATTGGCAGAAGCAACGTAGCAGATTCCAATTTTCTTTGTTTTTCTTGAGAGCTGAATTTTGCCAGATTACAGAGTCTTCGGGCAAACAATCACTCTAAAGGTTCCAGAAAGCAGGAATAGCCAAGGTACATTGACAACACATCTGCATTCATGCGGAGAGCTGCTGCACGCTTAGGAGTCACAGACCAAGCCTCAGTGCTGCAAGTGTGTACATTTTAAGTGTGTGCGGCTCTGGGGGGAATTGAACCTCTAACCTTGGCAGTGTCAGTGTTGTATGTACCCAGCAAATCACACCAGATCTGTGCATAAAGAACGTGCTGTAACTGTGATTTCACAAAGATTGAATTGTGTGTTTTTGTTACCATGCCGTGGAGTTTGCCACAACACAGTCACCGCTATGTCTTGGTTACAGCAGCCAACGTTTCTCCTTTTCTCTTCCCAGTAAAATCGGTGCTCAAGTTAAAAAAGGAGGAGATATCCCCTCTTGGTTCGACCCTGGCCAAACGCCCCTCTGGCCCTTTGGAGGTGGGCACGCCCTTCTACCAAGATGGCCAGCTGCAGGTCCGTGTCTACTGGAAGAACCGGGGAGGTATGCGCGCCACTGTATTGATTTACACCTTTGGTAGAATGTTATTAGCACCCCAATATGCCCATCAATCACAATGACTAATGTACACCGTAACAAAGTGTTATGACTGATTCTCAGTTACTCAAAACAGCAAAGGATTCCTTTTGTAAATGTGGGATGGTGTAAATGAAATCAGTGAAACAATGTGTCTCTGTGAACGCACGGTAATGTGAGTGCTGGGCAAGTTGGTGTAAAGCTGCACGCGGCCTGGTAGAGCGGAGCCACCGTTTAGTCAAGAACAATAAACAGAGAGACGGAGCCATGCGATGGGGTTTATTGACAGCTGCATTTAATAGATCCTGCCCTTGCATTTGCGCAGAAGCAGCCCACGTTGTTTTACAAGACCTGATGTCATAGGGAACAGAAACGGCCATAGGTTTCAGCACCACAAGGGGTTAAATCCTATAGGAATGCCTGTCCCAGCGGTGTCCATTCCCCCAACCCTTCTGTTAATGGAAATATGGAAACCTTGAAAGCCATGCTCTCAGGGTAACCTGTCAAGTCCCATTCACTGGTCTATGTTATGTTACTAATATATGTCATCACCCAAGCCAAACTCCACATCTTAGAGTCAAGAATGCAAACGCTGGCTGAAGGAGAGGCCTGGTGAGACACCAACTGCTGAATCAGAGTGAGAGAGAGTGAGGGGGGGAAGATGGAGTTGGCCCAGAGCTTTTTGCGAGGCTGGCCTGGACTCCGAGAGCTGAGTGATGCTGAGGGGGATCGAGCGCAGCTAGGGGAATCACACCGTTGCAGAGCACCCCGTATCCCGTCCAGCTTCGTCTCTTGTTTGCGGCGTTGGTCTGCAGTGTGGGTGTCACTGCCACTCTGAGGGATGACCCCTGGCTTTGACTCTGACAACCTGCATTCCACTACTGTAAACATAGAGAAATACAGATGGCCTGGAGAGCTGGAGTCTCTGGACATCTGGTTTGTGTGATGGGGAGAAGGGACAGGTTAACCGAACCATGATTAAACTCTCACTCATTGTCTCTGTGATCCAAAACAGCCGGGGCCTGTGTGCTGTCTCCAGCAGACGAAAGAGAACCTTTACTGTACACCGGCTCAGATAATATATCACTGTCTGCCCAACACGCAGACAATAGACAGCAGTCCGGCAGTGGCAGCACTTCTGAGGCTCGCTTCCAGCCTTGATTTATCGAACACTGCTGAGGTCCTGTTCTCTACCTGATTTCCATGTCCCCTTTCTTGTTTTACATGCCACTCCCCCACTCCATCAGATCCAGCTAAGCTAATATCTTGTTTATTTTTTCCCGATTTCCCGGTTCCCTGTAATTTCTCTCTTCTGCTTCCAAGTGCCAGATCTGTGTCTAAGCCTTCAAAGGGCCCCTTTTATCTCCCCACTACAACGCAGGCCCCCGCCGAGGGGTGAACACAGCATAACTCAATTATTAATCGGAGAAGTATTTCACATATCCAAGCAACTCAGTCAAATGAATAATAAATCTGGTAACATGAGATGAGGGTGATGGGCAGATAAACAGTGCCGATGAGCTCACGAGGAGCTACTGTACAGTAATGAAACGAATGTTGCTCCTGGAGTCTGCAGCAGAGAGAGAGAGCTGGTCCCAGCATGACCACGGACGCTATACTCCACTGATAGGAAATATAAATCTGTAAAGTTGAAGCAGAAAAGTTTGAGAATTATAAAGCCTTCAGAGAGGAATAATAAAGGATTAGCAAGCAGGTACATCATGTTGATAAGTCTATACAACGATAAAGAAGGACTTTCAAGTTTCAGTTTATTTTCAGAGTTATCAGCTCTGATCATCAATAATGGAAACTGTGACAGCAGATCTCAGGGAGTGCAGTAATCTGTGAGATACAGATATCAATGAATCATGTCAGTCTGTCAGTTTGTCTTTTGATCAGATTCATGTTCTGTGGGTTCAGCAGTCGAATGTAACTAAAAATATTTACTCAAGTAATGTACTTACAGACTGAAGGTATGAAAACTTTCTTTATGCTTTAACTCCACAGTATTTCAGAGGGAGATCAGCAGACGTTTCTACTCCATGACATTTATTTGATCACTGAAGTAGCTCCATCGTATTCCTTTGGCATCACAATGCACTTCATCTAAAGAGAGTTATGTGTGTGTACCAGGATAACCCGATGGTCTGGAAGGGTCAGGCCAGGTTCAGACAAACTCTGAAATGATATTCGGATCCGGGTTGTGTTCGGTCACGTAAGCTCAGACACATAAAAAACAGAAGTCAGGTTCTGGTCGTGCTTAGTTAGTTTTCTCTCAGGCTCAGTTAGGTTCAAACAGAAAATTGCATCCCCAGCTGCACTCTAGTGTGACACATTGTGTGTGCATCATTGTCCATTTAAACTGTCCATTTGATTTCGGATCAGTTGATTATTTAGTATTTGGAATCTCCTAAAATGATTTTTCCTAGATGAAGCATCCTTGATGCATCAACTGAAATTGTATCGTCAGCAGGTTTAACATTTGATCTGTTTGAGTTCCTAAATAAGCATGCTCCAGCTAGGAAACATTTTTTCTGAGATTCCAAATACTAAATGATCAATTGAGCCGATCAATATGGATTTTGGGGGTTGAGGTTGATATGGATATTGGGGACAAAAAATCTCCCACAATGATACAACAACCGATAAAATTTGGGGGCAAAATGTAAACATACATTCACATCTTTTCCTTTCTGCATTGTTTATTCTGATATGTTTGTGAAAGGCTGGATATTATTGTCTAAACGATAAATCAGTCAGAACCTGGAGTATTACCCTTTACAACAATATGAAGAACTGGATCTGAATACTGAGTCATCTGTTATGTGACAGCTCTTTCTTTTCATCCGCCCTGTTTTCAGATCCCTCAGTGAGTCGCTACCACGTCCAGTGGATGCCGGAGTACTGCAGCCACAACGAGACCCGGGGACCAGAGAAATCCGTCACACAGGTTAGTCTCCAAGAAAAGTTTCACACCTTCTGGCAGAAGATTGGATCACAGCGTGCACAGGGCTATGACTTGATCAGCAGCTCTGTGCTATGCAAAGCACGTGGCTGCGCTTTTGTCCGATGCTTGGAAAGGACAGCTCCTCTAAAGAAAACAACTCTGCAGAGAGGGAGAGAGAGAGAGCCCTGAAGCCTTGTTGCGTTGGATGTGCTCAGGGCAAATCACTGGCTTTTGTTTTGAATATTATGAGTCAGTCATGTGGTGTGTTGGCCAGTAAAACGCATTTGCTGAAAAAAAAAGAAAAGTTTCCCGGAATGGGGGATCATTCACGTCCAGCAGCCCTTAGTAATACTTCTGCGTGGGTCTTTCCTGTAGGGTGCAGCGGGGGGCGAGAGGGTCTGGGGTTGGGGGGTTAACTGTTTGAGCCCAGGCTGATGCAGCATGGCAGAGGCCTGGCAATCAACGCATTCTTTGGGGACCGGCGCTCTGGTTGCTAGGAAATATACATCCATTTTCTATAGATCACTGGGAAAGACTCCAGGCTTGTGCTTTTATGTGAGCACAGCGCCTCATTCCCTTTTTATCAAAGCTGTTTCATATCAGAGGGAATATACACACAGTGTTTTTCTCAGGGGACTGCCTATTAATGTAGAACTCCTTTATTACAAATACAAGATATAAATCCACTGCTCAGTGTGACTTTTTTCCCCTTGTTTCCCTAAAAAGAAGAAAAGAAGACATTTTTTGTTAAGATCAACAGATAATCAAAGTTAGAAGTGGGTGTAAAGTGTAAAACTGCTGCACAGAATTTATTAACAGGGATTTACAGGCCGCTCTCTCCTTCAAATTACACATGAATCCACTTTGGTTACAGCTTCTTAATTAAGTTCATCCTTGTTATTGCATTTGGGAGCTGTAAAAAATCATTTATATTGCAGTTTGAGTCGGAGAAGAGTGGCCTAACCCTTACCATGTGAGCGTTCAAAGTGGCCCTGTAATGTGGGGCATGTTCCTGAGGCCTGAGTGGGAATGTGATCTGCTGCGGCGCTGTGTATTTAATTATCTCTGAAGCTCCATGGGACCTGACCCGGGTGACATGTCAAAGTCATCAGAGGCTGAATAATGTGTTTCTTGGCACAGGAGAACTACATCAACCTCCCGGGCCTGCTGTTCTCCTGCAAGTACAAAGTCACCGTTCACATGCTGAAGTCCAAGAGACGCTCCAAGGATGAGAGCACCACCTTCCTCACACCGTCCTGTGCCACCATCCGCAGCAAGACTCACAAACACATCCCCTGCCCAGGGGAGGGAGGTGAGTGCTCAGGAGACACTTCAAAGCCATTAAAATGGATCCATGTGGGTTTCAACCTAGTAAATTATTCTAAATATAAGAATAGCACTCTGTAGAGGACATGCTGTACCTCCTCCAACAGTCCCCTTTACTTCACAAACCAAATTTCACACACATCAGTCCCCACATTGTCCCTTAATCCATTCATTATTTCCTGGGACTTTGGTAAAATGACAAAAACGTCTTTAGAGAACTTCTCTCACAATATTTAAAAAAGTGATTCCTGGATCCACCTGTTTGTCCACATCTGTGCCAAAATTGAAGTAGGGCTTTCTTGACCCATGTCTCATCCTTCAACTAAGCTTGGTGGAAATCTGTTCTGTGTTTTTTGTGTAATCCTGCACAAACCAACCAATTAACAAACAAACTTCTTATCGTGGGTAATGAAGCTACAGCCAGCATCCGGTTCACTTAGCCTAGCACAAAGATGGGAAACAGGGCAAAAGAGCTATCCTGCTTCTGTCCAGAAGAAACAAACTAGGCCTACAAGAACATCTTATGGTCGCTAAAGCCGCTTTAAGACACAAAAATGTCCAGACTTTACCTTTCGCATGTGAAGAACACAGCAGGAGATCAACCTGGTCAGATGCGGTCACAACAAGAGGAAAATGTCTGCAACATTCAGGTGGGGGTGGTGTGAGGGTGGAGCACACAGAAGGCAGGACGTAACTTCTACACTCTGCTGCAGAAGTCACCGTTCAATCAATGTTTATAGCACATCACCATCGGTTGTTGATGCCAAAAGCTCTGGAGTCTTGTTGTCTCTCGTCTGTCTTCTACATGTATCTCTCTTTCATCCTGAGATATTTTGATTCTTTGTTTGTTTTTTCTGTTTTGCATCCGTCACGTGTTTAAAATGTCACCAACAAACCTAATCGCTGTGAATTCTCTTAACATTTTCCTGCTGTAGTCTCACATGGGCTCAGTCAGACATTTTCCGGACATTTTACCAACTCCAACATTTTACTCACCCCAACAGCAACTGATTCCGACGTTTGCGTTCTCTTATAGAGATGCTCTTCGACATGGTTAACGTGTTGTATTTTGATTGTTATCTAAGTAATATTAGAGACAGTTCGACATTTTAGGAAAATACACTTATTGGCCTTTTCTCGCCGTCACCTTTCCCGAAACAGCACCGGGGCTTCCAAAGGTTTTGGCAAAGCCTGAGAACCTGACAGCCTCCTTCTCCATCAACGACGGAAACATCACCGGCAACTTTCTGTGGCGTGTGTCCCGAGTGGCTCCCAATCAGCGAATCACAGGCTTCCAGGTCACCTGGGCCGAGATCACCACTGAGAGCCGGCAAAACAGCCTCCCCAACAGCATCATCTCACAGTCCCAGATCCTGCCTCCAGTAAGTCTGTTGTTATTAAAACGAGATTGGTTTCTATTTTAACTCCCTTAATAGCCATAGAGTGAAGACTGTTTAAAAATCTGACAGATTGAATACGTTTCAGTGCACCGCAAGGACCATACTCTGTCATATAGAGTCAGGGAAGTCTGGCTTGCAGTAGGAAAGTATGTTCTATCTGCAGCGTTTCATTTCACAGCATCTGTCAGAGGTGAGGGTGATTTAGGGATAACACTGTTGTGGCCTCTTTGCATGAATCTTGTGATAAGCAGTGCAGACAGACACAGGAATAGATCTGAGGAAGTGTTGTGTCCTGCTGGAAGTTCTCCTCCTTTACCTTTCATCTGCCTTCACGTCTTCCTCTTTCATCCTCCACAAGCACTATGAGAAAAAAAAAAGCCGCTCTTTTGACATAATCTGCTCCATCAACAGCACGTTCTGCCTATCTGCACCTCCCAGCCTCTGGAGCTCGTCTATAAATAAAACCACCCACCGCACACTTTATCAAGCTGGCAGCGGAGAGGAGAGACAGCGAGCCTTATGAAAACAAAGTCTTTGTTTTTGTCTGTGGCTTGTGCAAAGATGAGCTTTGCAGCCGACACTCCCCTGGTCCAACAGCCCATTCAGATCCACGTCCTGTCAAAGCTAAAAGCGCACACTGATGTGTTTCAGCTGATTGCATGTCTTTCCTCCCTCTCTCGGTAGGATCATAACTTGCTCGTAGTGTCCAACCTGCGGCCGTCCACCTACTACAGACTGGAGGTGCAAGTCATAACAACTGGAGGAGAAGGTCCTGCCACTGTCAAGACCTTCCAGACCCCAAACATATTACCAGTCATTCAACACCGTAAGTACAAATCCCCTATCGGCTGATCATATGTCAAACTATTTGATATGTTATTAATTAGTAACTAATTTAATTTTTGATATCGTGGTACCTGTTGGTGCTTTATCGAACCCTACTACTTGTTTTCTTGCTACTATCGTCTCTGAGGCTACAGTCAGCAGCCAGTTAGCTTAGCTAATCATAAACACTGGAATCAAGGGGGAAATGGCTAACCTGTGTCCAACTGTAATAAAAATCTACTGACCAGCTCCTCAAAGCTCACTAATAAACACATTTCCTGAGAAGTGCTCAGAGCCAAGAAATAGTCTGGTTCATTACTACCCGTAAAATAAGCAGAATATAAGATGCCAGAACGCTGCATAGAGCCAATGTGATGTCTGTTGGCTCACTGATTTTGTTATTTACTGGCATTCTACTTTACTGTTTTGGTTTGTGGCCACATTAGCATTGTTTCTAACTGAGAAAGGCTGTTTTCGGTGTAAAAAAATTGATCTAGCAACTTAACAAAAAGATATTTGCCATAGTTGAGACCAAAATTAAGTGAATATTAATATTAATCCTACATTAATCAGGTTGCCAACATAAATGAATGTAAGATAATGTTGCTTTTTGTCTGCTGGCCAACTGTCTCCCACTAGGTTCACCATATCAACTTAATGAGGTGATGCTTTGTCAGAGTTTACAGCTTGTTGTTGCTGAACTCAAATTGCCAAAACAATCAGCAGTTTAAAGAAACAATGCTGAAGATGTTCTGAAACTTTATGGAGCAAGAATTTTCATGAAAATTACACACATTGTGTGTTTCTGACCCAGATCTACATGCAGCAAAACAACAAGCACATTTATGCTGAATAAATAGAATATTGTTTTATCATTTTCTAGGGCCCAGACTCCGGCAGCATCACTCTCATCACCAGAAGCCATCGGTAGAGAGACACTGAGTTTCAAGTGGAGGAAAACCCCAGTCGGGAGACGTATCATCGGCTCTTTGCTCCAGTCTGTCGGGGAAGGAATGTTTGGAACCAGACAGAAACACAGCGCACCAGACCATGAACTGACCTCCCCCAGCTCGTGAAATATGGGTCCATCCTCTCCAGGCTCCACAACACATCAGCTCTCCTTCTTACAAACCCCTCCCTCTTGACTGACACAAGGCACATGGTGACAGGTTGGTCTGCACAGGGAAACCAAGAAGAAATGAAATTCCAGGTCAAAGTATCCAGATCCAGGAACCCCAAAAAGAAATGTTGTGATCCAGCATAAAAGATATTAAACATTTTAATTGGATTTGATAACAGACAGGAAATAGAAACACAATAACTTAGGCAACCTGATTGAAAATGATCTGAAGTGGATGGTAGGAAAAGCCAGAAATGTAAAACCAATTGTTCATTCATGAAGAAAGAAGAAGTAGAGAGTCATCTATTTATTTTGTGTTACCCTTTAAAGAGGCGCTTAGGCACACAGTCAGTACTGATGGATAATGTAATTAAAGTCATTGTTGTCTAACCCAAAATATTTCATGTAGTATATTGCATGTAGTACATTTGATTTTTTATTTGAACTGTAAATGAATCACTTGCTTCAAATTGAAAGCTCGTAATGGTTTTGCATGACGACCATTAGCGTTCTGTTGGCATGGAGTAATGTCTGTAGTGTTACCTCTTTTCAATATGTTAGCAATATTTCATTAACAGATTAACAAAGAACTATATTGGGAGTAATATGTAATGTTTATTAATGAAATTATAACTCGTGTGGAGATGATGAATTGTACATGTTCTTGGCTGTAGAAATATTTGTCGTGGAGCAGTCAGTGAATGTCTATATTTATTTATGTGTGTATTACAAAGTTTGGTTTGGATGTGTGTGAATGTGTATGTTTCTGTGTGTTTTAGTCTCGAAACTTTTTGAACCGGCAGAAAAAAATCTTGTAAAGACATTTTGTAAAAATTGAATTGTAAATACAGTCTTATGTTACATGTTATTTTTCCATGGTAGAAACTGTACAAACTGCTAAGTAATAAAATAATCCTTAACCAGTTCCCTTCGCTGTTTGTTTAATTAAAGTGGCAGCGAGCGGTAAATAGACGTGCTTCTCCTCCCAGTGCTATTTGGCAGTGGCTGTTGCTTATCTTGGCCGCAGCATCCACCATGGCAGACTGTGTGCGTACAGCATATTCACTGATCGGTCCAGGAGCCAGAGACATGCACTCTGCAATTCCAAATAAACAGGTCATCTAGCTCAACAGCCCGAGTGAACTCCCCGTCGCTGGGGTCGGGCACCCCTCAACATAACGCCCCGCTTCTCAGAGCACTTGTGTGTTGGTTAAACATTAAATCAGTAGCCTCTCACCCTCGTAAAAGGAAAAAGTGGAAATGTTTACAAGAAAGTAAAGCTCTTAGTGACACTGTGAGACTCGAGCCTACAGTAGATGTGTGCAGTGTGTACTTTTTGTGTTGAAAAGGTCAAGCTGGCTTCCTGCACATGTTGAATGAAAGCCTTTTCTAGCAACAGTTTATCATTAGTGTCCAGGCAGGTTGGCCTGCATCGTTTTCTCCTTAATTTAATGAGACAGAGATAATGAAAGTGATCTGTGGTTCTCGTTCTTTATGTTTCTTTTGCAGAACTTTTTCATCCCAGTTCATTTGTTTGTTCGTCAGCAGTATTATGTAAAAACTACTCAACAGATTTCCATGAAACTTTGGGGAAGGATGGGACATAAACATTATCATTGCGAGTCGGGGAGTTGTTTGTTTTCAGCGATTACCCTGGAGGAATAATACAGAGATCGAGATGAAAATTATCAGGCATATTTATGGGCCTGGTATTTATGAGCATGTGGAATTTGGTGCAGCTTGATTGAATTTGAGGAGACTGTTGGGCCTTGGCGGAGGTTTGTGCTCTACTTAGTGCAAGTTACCTCCGCCAAGGTTATGTTTTCATCAGTGTGTGTGTGTGTGTGTGTGTGTGTGTGTGTGTGTGCGTGTGTGTGCATGTGTGAGTGTGTGTTAGTTTGTTACCAGGATTATGCAAAACCTGCAGAACCGATTTCTATGACACTTGGTGGAAGGATGTAGTGTGAGTCAAAGAAGAACTTATTACACTTTGGTACAGATCCGCATCAGGACGAGGAGCCAGGACTTGTTTTTTTTTTTCACTTTGTTGGTTTGTTTCAACAAAAAACTACTCAACGGATTTCCACAAAACTTATTAGAAGGATGGCACATGGGTGAAGGAAGAAGCCATTACATTTTTGGCACATGATCCACACAAAAATTGGCAATTAAAAAAAATAGTGAAGCCTAGAACCAGGAATGGACAGGCCTCTGACACAGGTCTTTTCATAGCATTCCAGTTTAACATTGTGTAGAAAATAAGGACAAAAACTCATCAACGGACAAGTTTTTCTAATATTCTTTTTAGATCCAAAAATGTTGTTTTTATAACTATTATCTTTAACATTGTGTTTTTAGACAATTTCCATCAATATCCCAGAAATAATTATTGGATCTTGATAAAAAAAAATCATATTTAGGGGACAGAGGACTTGAGTAGAACATCTCTTTATTAATGCAATTAACCAGTCAGCCAATCGTGTGGCAGTACTGAAAAGCAGGAGCTACACGTTACATCAGAATGATGGGAAAAAATGCACAAGATTGTTGGAGCCAGACACACACAGCAGTCTCTAGAGTTTTTACTCAGAATGCTGCGAAGAACAAAACATTCAGTGAGCAGCAGTTCTGCAGACACTCACACGCATCTCAGAGCGTACAACACGTCCGGCCTTGACGTAAATAGGCTGCTACAACAGGAGAACACAAAGTCGGCTCAGTGAACTTCAGTGGAAGACCTTTGGGATGCGGCAGAACAGAGACATTGGCAGCCTGAATGCACAGATGACAAATCTGCAGAAATGATGTGATGCAATCATGTCAACATGGAGCAGAGTCATTCGGAGGAAAGTTTCCAGCGTCTTGTGAAATCCACGTCAGGAAGAACAGAGGCTGTTTTGAGCGCGAAGGGAGGAACCCCTCAGTATCAGCATGCGCTCCGTTAAAGTGCACGGTGGATATAAATCTAGATAGATGGAAACCAAATAAATAATAAATTCTGTGTAATATTCAATCCAGATCAGTGTGATGCATAATATTCCCAAAGATCCTCACAAACAAACATTTAGAAAATGTTAAATAATCAGTATTTATTTTGCTGTTCACCCAGTCACACACACATTCACATATATATATATATATATTCACAGACACTTTCTCTATCACACATCACTCACACATTCGTACATCACTCACACACTGCCGCCACAACCGTCACAGGCAAGTTGGAGGTTCAGTATCTTGCCTAACGACACTTTGCGACGCTGAATGGAGCAGTCAGGGATCAAACCACCAATCTTCTGGTTAATGGACGACCCGCTGACCCACAGCCGCCCCATTTAATGAACAGAAATGTTGTGGTTGTGGTCGTGCACACAACAAAAACCAACCAGAACAAACAGAGTGACGATTAATTGTTTCTAACTTTTGCACTGCCTCAATTTGATCCTTTTTTTATGAGTTTCTTCTTCCCCTCCCTTTCCCACTCTCGCTTTTTCTCATGAGTGTTCGTGCTTGTGACAAGACGTTGCTCTCCAGATGTTCAGACGTGAAGGCCACTCTTGTCACTATTTTCCTTCAAGGAGCGACAAATTATTCCGAGCCCTTGTTTTCACACACTCTGCCTCTCCAGTCAGCCAGCGCTCCGCCACTCACTTCTCAGGGACGTTGTTTATGTACAGTTCTATTATGTCACAGGAGATTAGTTCCTTTTGGTCGGCGCGCACTAATCCCCTTCGCTCTTTTCTAGGGAGCCACGCCAGAGTTTTCTCCAAGGCTCCTTTTTCTGTGCGAGCCAGCCCAGCCCCTCTCCCTCTTCTCTGTCACAGTTCTCTCTCTCCCCGCACAAACCGAATACCATGGCCCTCAAGTGTGAAAACCTCAAAACAAAAGGGCCTCCAGCCTCCTTTGAGGCATGTTGCAAGACATCCAAGTCTCCGAGGACATAAAAGAAAGGGAGGAGGAAAAAAATGCAACAACTAAATAATAGGCAAGTCGTCAGTATGAAAGCTTTTTCTGCGATGGTACAAGGCCAGCGAGGGCTTATTCACTTTGCATGACATTACATCCCTATTGTGAAAGTCAGGCAGGGGGATATTGCTTTCACATTTAAACACATATTTCTGAAAACAATATTATTCATTTGGCTCTTTGAATAATCCCAGTCAGTTAAATATTTACCGTCTTCTGGTTGACATTAGCCCTCATTTTATTAGGATTGAGAACAACACAGTGAGTCCTTTCAGAGGAGAGCAACAAAGATAGGCTTTTTCTCCCACACATTTCCTCTGACCTCTTTGGACCCGTTCCGCAGATTAACACCGCAATGAGCCATGCATCGCTATTTATCAAATCTAAGCCACTTTTATGGGTCATCCCGCTGATGGAACCACTGTAACTTTACTCCTCCTGAGAAGGGATGTGTGGAATTTCCTCTCTGATGATAGGTACAATCCCCGGTTTGACTTTGAAGCATGAGGCGAAAACTAAAATGGATGGACTCTACTTTCCCTTTTCAGATGACACCGATCGTAACCTGAACGATTTGAAAAGCTCCAAATTTGACTCTCATTCGCGTTTCAGGTCAGTGAGATCATCGAGCGGAGCCGTGCTCCAGATTACTACCACATGGACTGGATGTCCATTTGCGCTGCTACTCCTTCAATATGATGAGATGGAATATATTGTCTGCTCGACGGATGAGGAATAACCAGAGTGTTCCCCCCCTCCATTAAAGGCAATGTTGCTTTAATACTGTGGTATGGTGAGAAATCTGACCTTGCCCTGGGCAGTGGCATGTTTCTGGTTAGGCTCTGGTGAGTGGGACCAGGCAGGGGACACATGAAAGGATCTTTCTGTCAGGCCACAAAGATGTTCAGTCTAAGTCTAATGAAGACCAGAACACATGGACAGACCTGAGAACATGCATGCCACACATTATACAAGCAGCGGAGCTACAACCCTGTTGACAGCCGTGGTATTCCTCCCCTGTTCTTTTACAGGCTGACAGAACAGCTTGATACGTACATGTGTGAGCGGAGATTAAAAATCAGAACAAGCAGAACGTTGAATTAAAAACACAGACACATCCTGAGACAGACAGATAATGTGTTTGTTTTTCTCTGTCTTTCATTTCTAGCAGCAATTTTCTTCACCTCCGTGGCTCCACTGGAAAATGTATTGATGCTGCCTGAAAAATGTTTCTTTATATTTTTTGATGAAATGAAAATGTGGTTGTACGATGCAAATCCACTGCTGAGCTGGATTTTGTTTCTGAAAAAATGCTGCAGGTAACTACATTACAATACTACAATAGCTCCACTGCAACGTCAATGTCATGATGATAGCTTTGGCTGATATGTTGGTTTCCATAACAGAGAGATGTGTTTCTAATACATAGTGGGAGGCAAAATAACTAAAGTGGATAACCAACTAAATGTCCTTCAAAGTATCAAAAGTAAACGTTCTAATAGTGCAGAAAGATTTTGCTGATGCAGCTGGTCGAGGTGACAGGACGCGTTTCTTCCAACAGTAAACTTAAATTAGAGCTTGTAGAGGAAGCTTTCTCTTTAATTTGACCCTTTCTCATAATTCTGACATAATAAACTCATTAATTCAGAAAAACAGTGAATGCAATACGCTTCTGTTGATTATAGCTGCCACATGAATGTATAAGTAAAAATATCTTCCCCAGAAATACTCATGTAAATAAAATATTTTCAAATCTGTATTTACAATGAGTACAGTGCTTCAATGTATATATACTTCTCAACGCAGTAAAGTACATCACAAAAAAAACAAGGAGAACAAAAAGATGATTTACATCTGAGCAACTGAATTCCAATTTGCTCAATAACATGGAAGCTCAGTCTGTGATTATCTTAGCTCCAATAAGAAATTCCTTAACCTTTCCTTCATCC